CCTAAGAACAGAAATGTGTCCAGAGAAGTTGAAGAAGACGATAACTGGGAACTTCCTCCTGAGGAACTTGAGATTCCGTATACCAACCGGTTCTAGAGATAAACCAGAATGAGTTTTCCGGTTAGTGTAGTGTAAATCCACTCTTTTGTAGGCCTGCACATTTGTAGTGTAGAGAGAAGGAAGATGATTTTCCAAGAGGTTTATGTAATGTAGAACCAAATGTGGATGAGTCTGAAAACTTTTTGATTACATGAGAAGTGATCAAAGATATTGAGAAGAATCAAGAAGTTAGTATAAGCCATATAAATTGGTAGGTATTATATAGCCGCCAAAATCAAGAACAATAGCCAAAGCTCATTCTCAGTAACAAGAAAGAAAGTAGAGAAGTTTCTTTTCTAGAGCATTATGGTTGAATCTGTCTCCTCAAAGATCACTCCCTTAGCCATGAAGCTAGAGCCGAATCCCACTCGCATAGCTCGCCTTCTTTGAACCACAAAGCTGTCAAGAGGAGCCAAAATGTCAACGGATGAAAACCAAAAGCGAAGCAAAACTCAGGAATGAGAATAACTGGTCAAACAAAGTCGAAATCGTTTTCATGATAAAACATATCCAAAGAGATATATGAAACTGAACCAAACGATTCGTGTAATCAAATATGATCTAATCTTGTTATGTGTTCAATTCTAATAGAAGAATGAATTTCACTAAATGGACATAGTTACTGAGAAAATGTCAGTAATCTCACTAAATGGACATAGTTAATGTCTCAATGATGAAAATATGGAATGAATGATTCTAAGAAACAAGAAATCTCACCAATCTCACGCTTTCCGTTTTCAGGACTATCACTACCATGCACAATGTTCCTGCACATTGCATAATGTAAATATCAAACCATGAGAATCATCTTTTAAGTAGGGTGCTTACTTCCAACATCATTTTTCAAGGTGATAAAGATTCCAAACCTTCCGGTTTGTACAGCAAGATCTCCTCTTATAGTACCAGGTTCAGCTTGAAGAGGATCTGTTTTCCCTATTAGCTTCCTGGCTGAAGCAACAACACCAACACCTTCCCAAGCCTTGACAACATTCAAAACATCACAAGCAATTAACTTAGTCTGATTTACAAGTTGAAAATCCAGAAAAATCGAATAGTAGCAAGTATAATAATAAGCCGTACCATACAGACAACAGGGCCTGAAGTGATGTACTCAATCAGGCTCGGAAAGAATGATTTAGCACTAAGATCCTTATAATGTTCCTGGCAATCGATAAACACACAAGATTATCTCATCTTCAAGTTTCAAATACTTGTCAATGGTTTAGTTATACATCATCTGACAGTTATCGAACTAGTGATGTTATGAGTGAGTGTGAAACCTCAGCCAATTCTTTTGGGCATTGGAACATCTTCAGTCCAATCATTTTAAATCCTTTCTTCTCAAAACGAGAGATGATTTCTCCAACCTAAGAACATCCAAAAAAGAGGAATTTAAGCCAAAATGGCGTAATGCAATCCTACTCAAAAGCTCCATAGAGTTCCAAGATACAAATTTCACTTCAGAAACCAGAGAAGCAAATAATAGCTTACTAGGCCTCGTTGTATGCCGTCTGGTTTCACCATAATGTAAGTCTCCTCAACTTCCTAAAAGATCAAAAGGGGCAGAGTATATAGTAATGAGATTCATCAAATTATGAGATATCTAAACAATTATGAACCCTAAATTCCTAATTTCGAAGCTCAATCAGAATTTGACGGAGGAGGAAGCCGCAAACCATAGAAGCGACAAGGTGAGGGAGGAAGATTCCCGAATCGGCGGAGGTGGAAGCGCGAAGACGGCGGCGGGACGGGGAAACGCGAGAGAAAAGACGGAACTGAGGACGAAATGAGGCCAACTCAGTGCGTAAGTGAACTTTGGCCGGAGAACAGTGTGAATTGCGGATTGCCGAAATTATTCCCGGCGGCGATGAAGAAGAAGACGGCGAAGAAGCGACACAGAGAGTAGTCCATTGGCCAACCACAGCCACTCCCACCATTTTTTTCTGCGCTCTGTATCAGTCTCACTTCCATCGCTTCATCTAAAAGCAGAAGAAAGTGAAAATTACATATTTACCCTCTATCCGTAGGATTTGGGTTTAGTAGATCAATAAAAAAAAAGATAGTTGTACAAAGAGTCCTCTCTCATTAATGGTTTTTCTTTTCCTGTACAGTGTACTTTCTAAAGAACTTTGCACAATTCAACAAAAATCCCAATTTTGTTGCTTTAATACCAAACTCAGCTTTTCGACAACATCTTTCTTTACGCAAAATTGTTGTTTTTTGTTCATCAATTAGTGCCAATCATTCGTCATCGTCAACAGAGTCGGGTTGAAAAATAAGCAAAATACGCTCATCATCTTTGTCTTCTCCATTTCTCAGGCTTTCTCTTTTCTTCTGGTTGCTTTAGCCATTTCACTCCACATCACACATTCTGTGCATACAAGACTCACTGCTCATCGTTTTCTTCTTCCCTTGTTGCATTTAACGAGACACCAAAAAAAAAAAGAAGACATCTCAATCAATTTCTTCTTCCACAACTTCAGTTTCTTGCTCTCCCTTGTCAATATCAACTTCATTTACTTTCTCTCCCTTGCCCACAACTTCAGCTTCTTCCTCTCCCTTAGCTAAAACTTGAATTTCTTGCTCTCCCATGGTGACAACTTCGGCTATTACCTCTCCCATGTCGACAACTTCGGTTTCTTGCTCTCCCATATCGACAACTTCGGTTTCTTGCACTCCCTTGTCGACAATTTCGACTTCTACCTCTCCCATGTCAACAACAGTTTCTTTCTCTCCCTTGTCGACAATTTCGGTTTCTACCTCTCTCATGTCGACAGTTTCTGTTTCTTCCTCTCCCTTGTCGACACTTTCAGTTTCTACCTCTCTCATGTCGGCAGTTTCTGTTTCTTCCTCTCCCTTGTCTGCAACTTCAGCTTCTTCCTCTCCCATGTCAACAACTTCATTTCCTTGCTCTGGCACATTCTCCGATTGTTCTTTTCCTTCATTTTGGTTGATGAGTTCTCCATCTTCATGGCTCCCATTCTCTTGTGCCTTCTGGCTTACCAGTTCTTCTTTCCCCATATTGCCACTAGCGAGTTGGTCATCTCCCTCTTCTTCGTGAGGACTAAGTGGCAAATCATCCATCTGTTCTTCTCCTTCATTGTGGTTGATAGGCTTTTCATCTTCTTGGTTCCCATTGTCTTGTGCCTTTTGGCTCACCGGTTCTTCATTTCCGCTAACGAGTTGGTCCTCTCCCTCTACTCCACAAGGACTAAGTGTCCGTATTTCTTTTCTATCAAGGGACTGTTCATCTACTTCTGCTTGGATAAAGTGTGGCTG